ACGGCATCCCATTCCGCCTCGCTCCCGACCATGGCTTCGACCAGGGCCGGACGCGAGAGGTCGCCGCCGCCTATCGCCGCTACGAGGACACGGCGGTGCTCCGCCCAAGCAGGGCACACCTCTACGGTGTGTTCCACCGTGTCCTCCGGTCCATCCTCGCAGTGGGAGCACCCGGGCGTTTCCTCCCGCCCGATTCGGTGCAGGAACCTCCCGAACACACCGTGTCCGGTGAGGACCTGCGTCAGGCGGAAGGTGAGGATGTCGTGGCGTCTCTCAAGCCACTCCTCAAAGAGGGGCTTATCGCCGCTATAGTGGCGTGCCCAGCACGGGGTTGCGACAGTCGCTGTCTCCATGTCGCCCTGAGATCGTGTCGGAAGTCTGTCCGCTGCGCGACAACTTGCCGCGGCAGCGGGATTTCCCCACGGCACAGTGCCTCCGCGCGCCATTCGTGCAGGCGCGCGAGGACTATCGCCTCCAGATCCCACGGCGGCAATCCGGCAAGGAGGCTCGCCGCCTCGCGGGAGATCGTGCGGTAGCCGCGAACCATTTTCACGGCAATCACCCTTTGGGGCGCGTTCAGGTGGTGGACGGCAAGCCGCGCCAAACCACGCGCCCACACCGGGGCCCCGTAAAGGGCCATGGACCGCACGATCCCCGCGTAGAGCCTCCGGCAGGAGGCGCCTGAAGGCAGCCCCGGTCCGTTCCAGTTTGGGAGCCAAACGTCGGAAGTGCTTAACGAAGTTCCATCGGCCGTCGAGGACGAGTCCTAGGTACTTCAGCGTCGACTCGACGCCGATGGATACCCCTCCTACCATCACTGAGGATCCCGGTGGTGGCCTGTTCCGAGGACCATGGAAGTGCATGGCCTCGGACTTGTGCAGAGCCACCTCGAGACCCAGTTGCCGAATCCTCTCAACGACTATCCCAACCCCGCGTGTCATAGTTTCCGCCGCCGCCTCGTACGACCCCCCTTGTGATAGTACCAGCGTGTCGTCAGCGTAGCAAACTACGCTGACGTCGGTAGGGAGGTCGGCGCGCAGCACCAAGTCGTAACCGATGTTCCACAGAGGTGGCCCCAGAACCGAACCCTGTGGGACACCGCACGACATCTCTCGCCGGTTCCACTCACCGTTGCGATCGGGGTAGATGACAGCCCTGTCCGTCAGGTAGTCCCCGACTATACGATGGAGATAGGTCGGCACCCGGTGATACCGGAGTGCCTCCCTAATGCAGCTCCAGGGCATGGAGTTGAAGGCGTTGGCGATGTCGAGAGGCACCGCCAAGACAACCCCCCCTCTGGCCACTGCATCCCTCGTCGTGAGGGCTCTCACGCGCATGATGGCGTCCACCGTGGAGCGCCTCTTGCGGAAACCAAACTGGTGTTCCTCAAGATCCGGCCCCGTCCCCGCAAAGTGCTCGGCGAGGCGGTTTGCAATGACTCTTTCAAAGAGCTTGCCCACCTCGTCGAGCAGCACCACGGGCCGGTATGCGGACGGAGAGTCCACAGGGCGCCCCGGCTTCCGAATGAGGACCAGCTTCCCCGTCTTTCAACGAAGCGGGAATTGGCCTCTCTCCAAGCATGCGCTTAGGAGTCCCTCCAGTCGGGGGCCGAGAGCCTCCGAGGCCAGGACCCAGGCTTTACCAGGCAAGCCATCGGGTCCTGGGGCGGTATTCCTGGCCTTTAGCCTACGTACCGCCACTCTCAGGTCTACCCCGGTCCCTTCCGGGATGTCGTCGTCGTAGTCCTGGTGGTCCGCTTAAGGCACCGTAGGTGGCTGAGCCATAGGCGGGGGTGGATGTTCCCCTCGCGCAGGGAACAGAGCGCTCACCACGTCCTCCACGAGCTGGGGCCGGAGACTTTGCGTCAGCGGGGGGGGGGGGGGGCAGGTGCGGAGTTTATCCTGCACCATCTTGTAGGGGCGCCCCCACGGATCTCTGTTGAGAGTTCCAGCATCTCCTCACACAGCCTTCCGGAGGGCGGTCTTCACCGTTCTGTATCCCTCGTACAGCTCCGCCTCAATGGCTGCCGCATTCGGTGGACGAATGCGATGCCTGCGATGCCTGGCGTACAGGTGCCGCGCGGCGACACACGCCTCGCGCAGAGACGTCAGCTCACGCGACCACCAATACACCTGACGCCGGGCGCTTCCTGGCCGGACGCGGGGCATTGCCACGTCATATATCTCGGACATGGCCTCCTGGAACCATCCTGCCTCATCATTGACGTCGACAGGCCTGTCCGGTGATGACACCCAGGCCTGCACGATCGAGGCTTCCAGGAGGAGCTCCCGGTCCAGCTGCTTCAGCGCCCAACGCGGACCACTCGGGGCCTGTTGGACTGGCGCGCTCGAGGGCTGGGTGGAGACATCAAACCGGATGTACCGGTGGTCGGAGTAGGTCTCCACCCCCTCCATGACACGCCAGTCAATGGCACGCGGCGACAGAGCGGGGCTAGCGAACGAGATGTCCACCACCGACTCGCCCCGCATCCGCACACACGTGGGGACAGAACCCCGATTTAGGACGACCAGGCCTGTCTCCAGAGACCAGTCTTCCACCATCCTACCCCGCACATCTGTACGACGAGAACCCCAAGCCAAGTTCTTGGCATTGAAGTCCCCGAGGACAAGTACGGGGGAGGGGATAACTTCCGACGACGACTTCTCTCAGCTCTGCAAGAGAGTTGTGGAGCTCGGCGAGAGATCGGTTCGGGGAGAAGTACACCCCCACAACGACGAACTCCCCGAACCGTGCTGCTACGCACCCCTGACCCCTCCTGACACCTTCAAGGGTCGGGGTACCGGCGGCGGCCGAAGAGATGATGGCCACTGAGCCGTTAAGGTCCGCCACCCAGTCCTCCCTAGGCCAGACAAAATACGGCTCAGCGACCACAGCGATGTTAATCGAATTCACATAAAGGTAACTGTTTGGTTAAGAGAGAAAAAGAGACAGGCGATTACAAACTATTAAAACCCATAATTTTATTTTTCTTTCTCTTTTATTTCTTTTTTTTTTTAAAACGTTACCTCCACATTTATTATTTGATAAAAAATAGTCTCGCTGGGTTTCTTGCTGGTTCTTCCCAGGACAGAGGCTTTTTTTGGGAACCAGTGGTAAATGAAAAAATTGACTTTCAATAAGTATTGTTTATAATCTAGGTATATCTAATTAATAAAGGTAATTGTTTGGTTAAGAGAGAAAAAGAGACAGGCGATTACATTGAATAAAAAAGTTTCTGTTTCTGTTTCTTCTCCTTAGCAAGAGTTCACATAAAGGTAATTGTTTGGTTAAGAGAGAAAAAGAGACAGGCTGATTACAAACTATTAAAACCCATAATTTTATTTTTCTTTCTCTTTTATTTCTTTTTTTTTGAAAACGTTACCTCCACATTAGGATTTTCTCCTGTATTGTAGGGGCAGTTTACAAACATAAATTTCACAAGGACAAACATCCAGACCCGGAACAATTAATTGTAGGCCATACAAATACTAGTTCCGTGCGGGATTCGAACCCGCGGCCCTTAACGTTGTAACGCATTGCTAAGCCACTGCGCCATGGAGCCGTCAAACGCGCGAATGTGTCATAATTGTATCCTGGGATGCCAATTCACCTGTTGCCTCTTTGTGTGTCACAGTTGCCTGCAGTTGAATCATTATGTTGGACTGAAGGATTTTTGGTCACTCTATACAAAATTTCTACAAGGATATACATCAAGCATTTTTAAATTCAGGATCTCTAAAGTATTCGTTAGCTATTTATATAGGTACTATGTATGTTAGTTTTAGAAGATGTAGTTGTAGTTACAGAATTATTTTTTACATAATTATGGTAATAATTTTTAAAGACAGTTACGAAGTTTTATAGGAAAAAGAAAGTTTTATACCTGGTAGAGCCATGCTGCTTAATAGTACGAGTATAATTGTAGCACGAGTGTGTCAGCTCGACCGGGGAACGATCACGCTCTTACAGAATACTAACGTAAAATAGTAGCTTAGTGATGCTGTGTTTGTATGGTGAGAGTAGAGAACCGGAGACCCTTTTTACTGGAAACGAAGCATTCGATCTTAGTCCTCAAGGGTGACATCTGTATTTAATTCGTAATCGAGAATAAGTGATGTCTATGGGCTACAGTAACCACTTATCATCAGGTGGACTGTGTGCTCGTTTATCACCTTATCCTATAAAAAAACCTACACTGAGATTTTTCCTATATTGTAGATGCATTTAAATACACACGGACAAACAGCTAGTCCCAAATCAATTATTTTTAGACAATAGTAATTGTTGTTCCGCGCAGGATTCGAATCCCGGCAATGTAAACATTTAGACACTATGGTACTGAAACATCAACGGTCTTAATATAACGTATAATTTTGCATTATTAAAACAATATCACAAGATATTAATAATTGGCATTGACTGACGGTGCTTGCGCTTGCGGGCGTTCACCTTCGTTACCAGACGAACGGATATGCGGAAGTGTCACGAATGGACATATGAATAGATCAATCTAAGAACTCTTTTTTTTCACGTCCTGAATTTGTACAAGTGCAGGGATTATAGATTTATAGATAGCGTTAGTGTCCTTAGGTAAGCCTTGTGAAGTGAATGCCAAATTTAATTGATCTACGATGAAAATTTGCTTAACTACATATTAATCTCAATAACAATGCCCAAGCTTCATATTTACACACACACACACACACACACACACACACACACACACACACATATATATATATATATATATATATATATATATATATATGTTGATCTGATTATATATGTAATCGGATCAATTTAAGATAAACGAAAGGGATCGACCGTGTTAGTGGCAAACTCGTTGACATTGCAATACGGAAAATATCAGATCCTAGCGATGAGCCAGTGGCTGTGAGGGGGAAGCCAGTTCACTGGTTCATTTCCCGCAGCGTGCCGGAGGTCGCGTCTCGCGTTATCCTATATAACGTGACTACGCCGCTTAAGTGATTACAACCTAGCACAAACTCACGCTGCTCACACCACCCGCATCAACGGAACCGACCGTATTGTCCAGTACGTAAAAAATAAAATATTTCAATCAAATCTGGTCTATACCGTCGAGGTCGACTCGCGATTTCGTCGTCGTTTCCACAGCCACGTGATCGATTTTCAAATGTGATTAATGTAAAGAATTGTCGTTTGCCTATAGTGTAGTGTAACGACATTGGCAGTAATTGTCGAATACCACCACCGTACATTTGGTTTGCAGCGGGAGCGGCGGTTCTCTAGCGGCGATCAAACGTCAGTCTGCGTGTACACATCGCCGCTTGGCTACAGCTGCGCTCGCCGCGGTGTTATTGTGATCAAATCTAGACCATCGGTAGTCTATTTACCACACAAGTGATCAGTCAATATGAACAGCTACATCACTATCGTAAGTTCAATCGAATATTATTTAGTTCCAAAATATATTATCTAATTGTTTGAAGAAATAAAACTACAGTTTTATTTAAAATTTGCTAAAATTATATTTCAGTTATGGTGGTGGATTAAATCCAAATGGTATTTTAAATTAACCGACTCAAATATAAAACATTAAAAAGTTATATATTATATATTATACATTTATTTGTAGTTTATGTAGTCTTTTAAGTAAAATTTTTATTCGCTTAGCTGTAATAAGCTTTCATACTTTTTATATAAAGCTTTAAAGAACACCGCTTTAAATTACATAATATTCTAACTTATTTTAGTAGAAAGCTTCGTGAATATAGTCACCGTATATATTATAATTCAAATAATATATACGGTAATTCAAAAATATAGAAGAGCTTATAATGCATATAATGGCGTATTTTAATATAATTAAGTAAGAGTATTTAATATTTTTATTACTCGAAAGCAATAATATTATGAAAATTTAAATTTACGTGTTATTTCACACGTTGTTTGAAAGTTTTTAAGTCCAATTTTGACATGATATATAAAATAAGACACAAACTTAATAAGCTTTTTGTTTTAAAATCCACCTTGGATTTACTGTTGGAATTCTGACTTATATAATATGTCTATACGATAGATCCATATATATCACTGATAGTATATGGATACAACTGTGTGTCTTATGTATATCTATAAAATTACATTTTAATACTAGTGAAAAATATACATTTGGTGACCCATTCGCTTGTCAACAATGACAAATATCCCCTTTACGAGGCAACCCACGAGGGAAACTTATATTCACAGCAGTAGAATTTTCATAGGCTGTTATGATGATGATGAATGATGAAAGACTTGAATAAAAGTACCTTTTTTAGTATATCATTATTATTATTATTATTAAATTACATTTCCTTCCATAAAACAATGGAAGTTTTATTGCGACATTTTAAAATAAATCCTTATATAATTATTTTGGAATAAATATAAATTGTACACTTAATGCGAAAGTAATATTTTTTTAAAATTATTAATTGATAAAATAATTTTCTATTAAGGTTAGATTGTGACGCTGCGGGCTTTATATCAATTGCCATACAGAACAAGTATTTGCATTCATCATCATTTATTACAGCCCTTCACTAGTCCACTGCTGAACATAGGCCTCCTCCAAGAAATGCTTCAAAAAATGGTGCTGCATCCATCGACTTCGTATTATTATAATTCGTAGTATTTGAATAAATCTACGGATAATTACTATACCAACCCAGTTGTAAGTCGGATTAAGCTGCAACTATATATTTTTTACTTTTATTATCATCCTCATTAACATACAGGCTATCACGAGCTCAAGGCTGGACATAGGCCTATCCTAAGGATTGCCACAAAACGCGGTCCTGAGCCACCTGTATCGACTTCCTACATGTCATACCAGGTCGTAACTCCATTTAGTGGAGTACACTTCGACTACCAGTACAGGGTTACCACTCGAAAACCTTCCCTATCGGTTGACGGTTCTTCGAGCTATAATATAACTCGTTCATATATCAATTAGTTCATCCGTTGGGCTGTGACGTTTCTCTAGCCCTACTGCGGATACCTTCATTACGGATTCTATAACGTAGAGAAACTCCAAGCGTAGCTCTTCCCATGGCTCGCTGTGACCTTAGGCTTCCTCGTACGGACATTATTTACTTTATACTTTTAGGTATTATTCTGCGATAGCGTGTTTTACCATGTGTATTAATGTAAAACGCATCAACCTTAGAGAAAAAGTCCTAATAGTGGTAAGGTTTAAAAAATCTCAATGAAAGGTCCTCCCCGGCCACTAGCCTGTCCTACCACTACCACCCTCTTATCAGGTTTTGTCGTCTAATAACAATAACAGTACACTGCACTGCCGTGTTCTGATCTGAAGGGTACAAGAGCCTTCTTTGATTTAAGTTGACTGCATGTCCACAGACTGCAGCAGCCATTTACCGTAAGGTGGAATGTATGCTCGTTTGTCACTTCAATTTTATTAAAAAAAAGTTGGTTGCCCCTGCAGGCCATCCCTGGAAGTTCCCGCTAATTTCAAATGCAAAGTGCTCTAAATTTCACCACATTATGACGTTGAATATGAAACATCGGAGTAATTTAAAAAAATCAATTTTTTCAAATATTTTCGTTAACGATATCTCAAATTCAAATTCATTTAATCGTTGCAATATATGGGTTATGATAGGTCTTAACAATTTAATGAAGAAACTCACGAACAAACCAAACAATTTTGACTGGAACGGCATCGATCGACGTGGTTTTTCAAGGTTTAAAGCTGTAATTTTTGGAATCGATTGGTAAAAACGTTTAAAAGTTATTTCAAAAAAAACAGTTTTTCAATTTTTTTTATTTTTGAGATTTCTCAAAATCTACCCGGTCCGAATTAGTAAAAATTCATAGAAAATCTAAGTTTGATGAAACACTTCGAAAATCCGCTTAGTTCATTTCATTCGGTCAAGCCGTTCAAAAGTTGCACGCATGCACACACACACACACACACACACACACACACACACAGACATCATCGAAAAATTGTTAGGGTGGCTTCCTGTGACCTCAAGACGTCAAGATTTGATGAAAACTCAATTTTCAAAAAACGGGGTAAAAACAATAACTAGTTAAAAACCTAAAATGTTAAAAATTATGACAAATAACACAATAGTGTCAGAATCTAACATTTTTAAAAGACAGAGTTTTTGTATTTTACAAACTGCAAGATATAAAAACAGTTCAATTAATTATAACGTAATTGCAATTAAATATTTACGAGAAGGAACGGAGATTACTTAGTAAACAGTACGCAAATTGTGAAGTGGTTGTTACTCGTGACTTGGCGATATAACTGGTTATATAGAACAAATTTCTTAATTTGACCGTATAACTCGAGTGTGGTCATATTTCCATAAAAGTACTTACTTATTGCGGTATTGTTTCAAATGTGTCGGTACTTTGCTATCTTATCTTGTCTATTATTAAATGATTTGCTTTGTAAAAATACACGAAGGTAAATCAAAATTAAAATATTTTAAATCTGGGAACAAATTTACAAAAAAGGTCAAAAAGACTAGCTCATTTCCACAAATGTCCCTTATTTTTGACATATATGATTGTATTTTCATTTCCAAATAGTATCAAAGTCTAAAACGGGATTTCATTTGTTGTAAAAAGTGTAATTTATAAAGAATTTAAGGTATCACCCACGATTATATAAAATAAACGAAATGTATATGTACACGTACATATCTGTATATTTTTGAAAAGTATATATTTTTGTACGTATTGAACTAATTATATTTTGTTTTAGGTGTTGAAATTATTTAATCAAAATTGGCTTAGTATTTAAGGCTACCGTCAGGTAAACTAAAAAGTTGTGTTCGAAGAGGGTTCGAATTCACCATTCGACTACTATTGTAAATAACTCTTAGTATTAATATTTTTCAGCTGTGTAGTTAATAACAACAGTAAAAACGAAAATAGCATTGCTAGTTTTCTTTAAAAATAGTTACATAACAGGATGTAAAAAAATTAAGGTTTTACACTTTATTTATAATAAGGTTAATATGCTCATAAATTGTAGATAAATTATTATCATTAAAATAGGATGCATATATTAAAATTGTTTTAATGGTTGCGTAATATTTTAATCTTCTTATATAACACTGTTCTATACAATGTTTTAACCAAATTAAACATAATTCAAATAAACAAAATAAATTGCAGTACATTATGTAGTTAATAATACTTCTTATCCCATTTTCAATACAGGATGTAAATTTTGTTTGTATCCGTTAATTAAGCGGAGCGTGATGGATTAAGAAATGCAAAAGAACCGGTTTTATGTTACACACATAAACTTGAAAAAAAGGCCATTGTAGGGCAAATTTTAGTTAATTTTAGTTAAAAGTTATTTTCACTATATTATTCACATTTTAACCTTTTAATTAATATCCTATTAAAAATGGTTTTTGAGCAAAATATCTAAGTTTTTGTTATTATTGTTTTTATTTTTTTTAACTAACAAATAAATTTTTTATTAAGAAATACATATTACGAAATAATGAAAATTTGATAGCATTTTTCGTTTCAAATTGCACCGATTCAAGGTCATTATATAACCTAAAAAGTTTTTAATTGGATTCTTTTGTTTGATTAAAATAGATAACAACACTTTTTAATTGCAATTGCGCAAGTTTTGTGTGAAGGTTAAATTGGTCATTATTTATTTAAAATTAAACGCGTAAAGTTGTGTTGAATGTTCGAAGTATTTTTTTCCCAATTGATATAATTATAGGTTTAGAGGGAATGCACTACTTCAATAAACATGTACTTCATGTTTATTGAAGTAAAATACTATTTTTTAAGTTTGAAAATATATGTTTTTTAATACGTCTTAATCAAATCAATCTCTCAGATCAAAGTCTGTGTCAGCTCCTAACTAATATAATTCATATTTTTTCCAATGTATACTGAGATCTTTTACGTAATTTATTTCCTATTTATAAACATGCTCTTTTACATTAAAATTTTATTTAAATCTGCGGTTATGTAAGTGTAAACAGGGGAAATATTTGGAATATTTAATTTCAAATGACCTGAACGAAGGTTAAAAAAACAATCTCTATTTTAATAAAGATCTACAGGCGATATTCATTGAACATATTTATTTTTTAACTTCTGGAATAACAGATAATTTTGCTACATACGTTCTGCTGCTGTACATAGGCCTTCTTATTAAATGTTTAAATTGAAATTTATATCGAACTAGTTATCCTCCTCGGCTACGAGTAATTTCTAGATCTCTACAAAAGCGCTACCTACCGGGTTCAATGGTGAGTCTAAACACAGTGGTTAAGATTCACCATTGGATTGGGCCCACTCAAAC